AGGCCTTCACGGCTTCCTCTGTATGTGTCTTTGCCTTGATGTCTCCTGCGAGGATGGTGGCAATCTCGCCCTGCATGAAGGCCCAGGGGACGGAGGAGCCCACGAGTGGGCACTTGTCGCCACTTGGGCAGTACACCTCACCCGCTGGGCCCTGCGCTTTGATGAACTCCCGCGAGCAGGGGAAGCAGAACTTGTGTCCGGGCACCGAGGGGCACTGGACGAAGTGGGTGTCTTCTAGCCGCTCCCGGCACAGGGTGCAGCACAGGGGGGCTCCAGGGGTGGCCCCGCTGCTGCTGCTCCCACCCCCACTCACAGCTTCAGCCCCTGCCGTGGGGCTGACTTCGGCCTCACCATTGCGTGACACCAGCCGGTGTTGGGCCGGCGGCTGGGCCGTGGAGGAGGCGGCAGGGCTGGCACCGCCGGCCCGCCCAGGTCCCCCACCTCCACCAGGGTCCTTGGGTGAGTGGCCCAGGGCCTCGGCCACATTCTTCAGGGCAGCGATGGGTGAGGGTACACCTGGGGTGTCGGCGGAGTATGGACCACCGGGCGCCACCCAGTGCCGCTGCTGCTGTTCCTCAGTGGTCAGCTTCCCAGCTGCCTCGCCCTCGGGCTCCGGGGATGCCTTCCGGCGCCGGGGTGTGGGCGCCAGGTTCCTGGATGGGGCACGAGGGGGTGGCCCACACAGGGCTGCAGGGGCCGGCTCTGGGTACTGCTGCGGCAGGGCCTCGGCTGGTGCCGGTTCCCGGAAGCTGCGGACCCCGTCGGTGAGTAGCTCGCCTAGCTGGCGCCATTCCCCAGAGCCGTGCCGGCGCTCATATTCCAGGTACTTGAAGCCGGAGGAGGCCAGGGCTTTGCCTGGCTCGCGCAGCGCATCATGGAACATCTGTCGCGCCACGGCGAGGACTCCCGCGTAGACGTTGCCCGATCCACACGGATACTCAGTGAAGAGCTTCAGCTCAAACTCATAGCCCGGAGGGCGGGCAGCAGCATCGAAGGCGAACACGCGCCCGACCAGCCCGTGATCCTTTTTGAAGCGGACGTTGAAGGGGGCGCAGGCGGACAGCGCCAGCAGCTGTTCACGCACGGCTTTGGGGCGTCCGTGCCATTCCTCTGCTCGGCCCCGCATGGCCTCGTTCAGTTCGGCCAGACAGTCCGCATTCCTTTGCTGCTTCTCCTTCTCAAACTCGGAGCCAAAGGTTGGGCGGGCGGGACTCAAGCCGGGGGCCAGCGTCAGACCTCGGCTTCCCAGGCCGGACACCGCTGCTGCCAGTAGCCCGGGAGGCACCAAACCGGGCATGGTGCCAAGCAGAGCCCTTCGCGCCCCCTCGGCCACAGCCTCCTCTCGGCCCAAGCCGTTGGCCAGGCGGGACCCCAGAGTGTACTCCAGGGCGGGCGAGGGCAGTGGGAGGCGGCCAGACGAGGTGGCTCGGTCATAGCGGTCCTGGCCCGAGACGCTGCCTCCCGTGCCCGACGGCTGGGGCTGGGCCTGCGGAGGCGGGAGCTGGGGCCCCTGCGCGGCGGCTGCAGCCAGGTCCTTGGTGGACGGGTGCTTGGGGGCCGGGGGCCCGGGCGAGCGGCCCTCGGGGAGCACGTGGCTGCGCTTGAGCTGGCGGGCAGCGTCGATGAGCAGCTCGATGCGGTCCGCGCCCTCGAAGTTCACGCACCCGCGACACACGGCCTCGCTGAAGTCCCACACCATGGCCCAAGGCATCTTGGGCAGGTCGCACAGGTAGCACCATTGGCGACGGG